CGCCGCTATACTCTTCGAAATTCTTTATTTCGAAATCTTTATTGCGATTCGAGATCATGCATATGCTGAACATCGAAGAAAGTTTCTTCATCGACGTACTTTTTGATTCAGGGATATGTCTAAGTCTAAATCAAACATCTGGCAATGCGACCAATGTTTAGTAGATGGTCAAAATAAAAATCCCGGGCATAACGAAAAGTTTGGCAGTGGTGGTGGGTCCGCTGCATCAACCAGTGGTTTTAAGTTTGCTTGTCTAGCACGAAAATTGATCGATATCAATCATACAACCGCAACCGCCTCAAACGTCACTGCTTCTGCACTGCTCTAGGTTGAAATTGCTGCCTGCCCAAGAAAAGAAGTCTAAAAATTTATTTCATTAGTCTAAAATAATAATAATAATAATAATAATACTTACACGACCATCCCTCTCCTTCAAACCGCAAACCGATAAAAAGATGACTTAAAGAATCTGTTTGTGTACCCACGTAAAACTCATGATTTTCGGTATAATTTGGATTTTTTACATTTCACCACGCTATCAGGTTGGGGTTCCACCTGTTCTTCTCGGCATTAGCTTTCTCCAGCTGGGCTTCATAAGCTGCAATGCGACGTTTTTGTATATCTTTTTCGGCATTGGCTTCCTCCAGCTGGGCTTCATAAGCTCCAATGCGACGTTTTTGTATTTCTTTTTCGGCATTGGCTTCCTCCAGCTGGCCTTCATAAGCTGCAATGCGACGTTTTTGTATTTCTTTTTCGGCATTGGCTTCCTCCGGCTGTTTTATTAGACGCGCATGGTTCGATGTCGATGGGTCGCTTATATAAATATCATCGCTAAAAAGATCTGGACTTCTTAAATTTGCCATGCCCGTTGGTTCGTCTGTCTTTCCTGTTCTTTCCTGTTTGGTCATCGTCAGTCCTCACTAAGCTGTCTTCTTCTTCTTCTTCCTTCATCCCTATTTCTACTGGTCCTGTCATGTGATTTATTTGTTCCCCTCCTGTTTCCCCTGTTCCTGTCAACTGATTTATTACTAAATCGAATCCTGAAAAGGGCTCCTCGTCCTCGCTGTCAATTTGCATATTTTCGCAGTCACGGATATGTCCCGTAATAGTCCGTACCGTCCACGCCAGCCCCAATTTTCTGGCGTACTAGGTGTAGTCCGTCATCCTGGTCTGACAGCCCCGTCTTCTGCCATCCCTTTTCAAGCTGTATCTGATTGCGTAAATTTTTTTAACTACGTCATGAGTTGTAACTAAGTCCCCAATTTCCTGCGTCAGTCGGTCGGCTAATTTCTTACAGTTTGCCCTATACAAATTGTTCCCTCTACTGTTATCCCATAAATCCGGATATTCTTTGAAAAGCGGACTGAACAGACTGTCTGGAATTTTGACCATGGTAATATATTTCTTTTATTTGAATTACTTATATTATATAACAAACTAGGAAAACAGAGATAAATTGGGATAAATTCAAGAACCTGAAAATAAATGTGAAACAAAATAGACGAATTAAGAAAACGCAACAATAAGTACAAAATAAAAGCTTTAAATACTAAATTTTTTATTTTATTAATTTGCTGAAAAGGAGGAAGATTTTTTGAATTCTGCTATTTCTGAAGTTGAGATCGTTTGCGTCACGAGCTAAAAACAGCATGAAGATTAACTTTGAGGGAAAATTAATCCTCAAAAACAACAAATTCAATTACCGCGTTGTCCCAGTGGACTATTTTATCTCGGCCGTTAAACTGTGTTTCAATTGCGGCCGATTTCGCCACATTGTCAAATATAGCAAATTAAAATAATAATCCACCAGTCATCTCTAGGGGCACGATAAGTCTCATTATATTTTGAACATCATTTTATAATTATGTTTATGCTTATCTAGTATATACAAGACACTTCCTCAATTGTGTTTTGTTCATATTAAGCCTAAGGTCATTTATCAAATCTCAGCAAATCCTTCATTTTTCATTCTTCCAAACTTGTTCGTTATCTACAAACGCCGCTTTCCAATACAAAAAAGCTAATTTGTTCTATTGCAAATGCGTTGCCACTTCTAAGATCGTAAAAATTTAATACAAAAAACGCTATAACGCATTTGTAGCTTAACAACACTAATGAAAAGGAACAAAAACAAAAAGCGTTACTTAACGGCAATTTTCATTGCTATTGTTCATTTTCGCGATCTCCATTTGTGAGTTTTGGTCTGCTCGGAAAGATTGCACAAATATGTTATTTTCTAAGAAACAAGAGAAAAAAGTCATATTTATGTGAAATTATTTAAAATGACGTTATTGGAAAAAACTTATGGGACTACTAAAACAGAAACAGCAGCTCGCATTTTGTCAAGCAAAGAAAATGGAGCAGACGCGATATCTAGTCACGATGGTGATGATATGCAGAAATAAGACAAGCCCAAAAAAACAGAGATGTTCGAAGATAGTTCTAGATTGACTCTCTGTATGAACTTAACTAAAGATAAGATGTTAGCATGACGACGCCACCTCCGCCGCCGCCAACACCTGCGAGAAGGAAAAAGCCTCAATCACCTGCAGCGACTAATGATATCATTGCATTTGGAAATTAAATTAGAAACAGTGGCTCCTGGAAGCCCTCTTAACAGCTTACAACACGATTTGAAAGCAACCAAGAAAGGGGACAACGTATCGAACAGTCAGATTAGTATTAACTTCTTGCATCATAAGTACATCTCATCGTATCCATCGTAAATCGTTGATTTGTCTACAAAGTTTCTCTTGTGATTGCTGTCTGTATCTGGTTTTATTTTTTTGCTGCCTGTCAAATGTTTTTGGGCAAAAACGTTGAAAAAGTCGTGAAAATTAACTATTTCTTCAATGTTATCTTTGGGCTCCCAAATTGAAATTAATAATATTTAAATTTAAAAAAATCGAAATTTGAGGAAATTTTCGTAGTACCGGTACGTGCACTTAAAATACAAAAATTGGTTGAACAATAGATAATGGAAAAGCCCGCAGCTTTACCTCCCGCCTACTCATGTGACATACTTTCGCGAAATAGTGGCTAGTGGTTTGGAAACATGTAATGTTTTTCCGATATATTCAGAGCATGGCCGATTTTCCCGTTTTTGCACAAGCAGAAAACTAATTATTGGTTTGAATTTGATTACATTTTTTTTTTTAAATATACTTGGCTATGAGGTGAATAGAAAATGCGTATTACGGGATATTTGTAGCAGCCAAGCGGCATAAATTGGTTCCGTAAATTAATTTATAAATTCGCATCGTTTAAGCATAAGTTAATGTGAAACTTTTGATCACGGTATTACATATCATAACACCGTTAGTAGAGAAACACTTAGCTGCATCCATTGACTAACTTTCATTACGATCTATGGATTTCATTCACCATTTAAAGTTACTATTTTGATATACTCTACACCACTTGCGCTACAAGGGTATATTAAGATTGTACGGATGTAAGCAACTACTAAAACGATTTTATATAGACCCATCTTCTATTATACCGAGATAAGCTTGTCTATCTGCCTATTGTCGTTGTCTCGTGTTCAACCTACAGGTCGCGACATTTGCGTCATTTCGATAAAACTTTGTACACTAATACGTTTTGAAAATGGTTCAGTTTGGACAAACTTTTTCGATCACTCAACACCTTATTTTCAAAATTCGGATAACGTCGGATTTTTGGTTGTATCTAGCTTAATATACCGAGAAGCAGAACAAAGACATGAGCAACATCTAAGTTTAATATACCCGGTACCGCAAGTGGTGAAAGGTATAAAAAACACTTCCAGAGAGCAATTGGCACCCTCGAGTTTGACATTGAAGGGGAATGCGCTACAACATGTCAATAGATAACATAAGATGATTGTTTCTTCTGTGCGATAAGACTTAACCACACATCCCAAAAACGTTAAAAACACTGAAATAAATTGAACTGAACTGTGTGCTGCTTTGCTCCTTTCATATGTCTATATGTGGACTTATGAAATGAACGAAAAAAAGAAATTCTTTCATGCATAGCCTCAAATGATGATTTGTTCGTTTCACACGGAATTCATAGGCTTTCAGAAAAATAGGCTTTGGAAAAATGCAATTGCAATGGGAACATATGCATACCTCATTAGGATTGTGGTTTTACCTTATGATATTTTAAAACCGTAAACTTTCATCATAGACTATTTGAATTGTTAAAATTCGGCGAAGATCCGGGCGTTGAAGAGGATATGCTTCGCATTATTAATCGCATTTTGGAAAATGATTGTAGTATTATGGTTACGGATGACCAAAATGCGATAAGAGCCGTTGTTGACCATTCATGTGCATGTTTACGGGGAAACGAGCTCAAATCTTAATATAATTGAAAGTTCATTTGCCATCGTTTAAGACTATAAAACGAGTAACCAGAAAGTAGCATTACTTTTTAATGTGTTAGGTGTTGGGCAGTTTCGAATGATGGCCACGATCGAGAAAGTTTATTGTCGGACAAGAACAACGGTAGACAAGAAAATTGAACAAGCTAATTTGGTAAAGAATTTCTTATATTTTCCTGAATTGCAAAAAAATAAAACCGTATATTCAAACTTTTTAATATTTATTTCAAATTTCGATAGATTGAATCAATATGGTCACCACACGTTCAAAATAGTACATATTCCAAAAGCCGAATCGCGTTATCGATCGTATTATAATAATAGTTCACGTTTTTTGCCATTTTTTTGCGACATAAAACGTAATGCCTCTGAATGCGTAGAAAAAGCCGATTCATCAGCCTCGATTAGTGACTTTTTCAAGAATACAATGAAAA